GTACCATGTCCCGCGTGGTTGAATCTGCGGTCACTGTAGATGTCAGGCTCGGACAAATGCACTTTCTGGTTCGACAATTTAGCCTCCGATGGACTGGTGGTTTGAAGTGTGGCTTGTGGATCTATCGCCGGGTCAAACAGTGGGGGAGCAGATGGGGGTGGATGGCTCAAAAGCATTCGACCCATCATCGTGATGGGAGCTCACTACTCTTATACGATTAAGAAAGGAAGGACTAGGCAATAAACTAAAATATTTATGTCTGTAATTAGAATAAGTATGGAAAGACCCAATCACCATTTGGACATCCTCTATGCTCTTTCGAATGATAGTCCATACAGTAGATGTATAAATCAATGAAAAAGGAGCAGTACGTCGAATATAGTTCGATTTAGTTTTTAGAGGATATTGCAAGGAAGATGAGCAATAGCGAACTTCAGAAATCAAACAGCATCATACACATGAGACCAGATAGTCGTGACCTCGAACCAACAGCAGAATTGCATCACGAGTTCCACCAAATAAGAATACAGCAAAAGCTCATATTAATTGACACTGCTGGAATAATCTCATCATCATCAATGAAGAACCAATGTCGATATCCTATCTGGCGCTCGGCGCCCAGACTACAGTTGGTAGATCCTATCTAGCCTAATCTACAATGCCGCCGATGACGTCAACAGCTCCCCGAAGTACGAGCAGATCTCGGCCAATGCGGCATGCTTCAAGCACCAGGTATGTCTCTCGTATCACTCACAACCTCGTTCCCCAACTCACAGATCCCACATGCACCCAACGACCACCATGTGCCCCACCCAGCATACAGCAGTGCAGCTCAGCTATGGCTGCCTGCTGCTTCCAGCTCGCCCGTGAGCGTGTAAGTGCTGGCCAGTGTTTGCGCAGCAGCGCCAGTGCCCGAATGCCGAATGTGTGGGCAGGCCCTTTCCTAAATGGAAATGGCCTGCCTGCTTGCGTGCAGCTTGGCTGTGCTGGGCCTCTGCCCAGAAGCTTCCGGTAGGCCCAGCGAGGCTGAGCCCCAGTCCAAACAAATCAGGCCCTGGGCCTGTGGTGGTTGCCCTTGTCCAACTACCCGCGGCCTGTGTTCGGTCCATGTTACGAATCTGGCCCAGGGCCTGCCTCTGTTACATTCGAAAGAGGCAGTCTGGGCCTGGGCGCTCTCAACCAACTGGCGCTGCGCAACTGCCTGAATTTCCCCAGTTGCGTGGTGACCCCAAAAATGGCCTGTAGGCCTCGGTCGAGCCTGCCTTCACTTAGGGCGGCCGACTGTGCTGAAAATAGGGCCCAGTAGGGCGTATAGAGGCATTGTGCCTCGCAATATTCAAATAACCGAATTAGTCGGACCAGGTTTTGCTGCAGTACCTGGTCCTAATTGGAGACTAACGTGGTCCTGCCCCAGGCAGTCCCATCTCATAGGACCCCCACGGGCCCACTCCATGCCTATTCTCCCCTTGACCCAATAAACCAGCATGGGGAGGGGCTGAGTAGGGGCTGGGATGACCCGGTTATCGGTCTGGATATCTGCGCCTAGTTTGAGTGCTGCCCGCCATGAGAATTGGATAGCCTCCTGAACCTTTCGCAGTTTTCATCCACATGCTTTAAATTGCCACTACCTTCCAGCCTCGTTTTTCCGACGCAGGTTCCCCCTCTATGCCTAGCTTCGCCGAAGCGCCAGCGCGCCTTTATTTTTTTTTGTTTTTTTTTCGGCTGGCGCCACTAGCCGTTTTGGTCCTTCTCAGTGCCTGGAATGTTTCGTTTTCAGTTCTCAATGGGATCTAATCAACACTTCATGCCTCCAGGCTCAAGCTTTATCAGGTGCTTGACCTATCAATTTTCATTTCCGAGCGGGATTAGATTAACGCAATTGCCGGCATCGCCCATCTGCAGGCTGGGTGCAGCTTCTGTGTTCTCTCGTGGACACGGTTGTGGCTGCTACGGGGTTCCCCGTACAACTACAATTAGAAGTATTTGTGAAGATATGGTTGTATCTATGGGACGCTGGACCCGGTTTCCAGCAGGTACTGCCCCCCACCTATAGATGGAGCTTGTTTTTTGTAAAAATAATAATAATAATAATAATAATAATAAAAAATGTAGGTAGTGTGAGGCTATGTTGCACGCCCGGCCGCGGCCGGGGGGTCCGAATCGGCCGCGGCCTAGGCAGATGACCGAATCGGCCCGGTTCGGCCTAGGCCGACCTGCCGAGTTCGGTACATTATTTTTTTTTCCCATTTTTTACATGTAAAAAAATAAAATAAAAAAATATGGGCGTGTAGGGCTGGAAAAGCCCTACACGTTCATTTTGGCCCTGTTTCGGTGCCACCGAGTGCGGGGCACCGTGTGGGCAGTGGGCAGTGTGGGGAGGGCGGTGGGTCCAGGGCCCAGGCCACGGCAAAACTGTTGCCGTTTCAGATAAATGCTGCCATTTATCTGAAACGGCAACAGTTGTTGCTGTTGCCGTTATGCTGCCAAAATGCCTGCTCACCACTGAGAGAGAGAGAGAGAGAGAGAGAGAGAGAGAGAGAGAGAGAGAGAGAGAGAGAGAGAGAGACTCTTGAGAGAGACTCTTGAGAGAGAGAGAGAGAGAGAGAGAGAGAGAGAGAGAGATCATCTATTTCTTCTTCTTCTTCTTCTTCCTGCGCACCCTGCAGCGGCGCGCGCCGCGCGAGCACGTGGGACAGCGGCCCCGCGCTGCCCAGCGGCCGCCGCACGGCCGTCGCCATCGCCGCGTGCGTCGTTTTCCAGCGCGCGGTCATTTTACTGCCCGGCCGCGGCCGGGTACGGCTGAACACGGCCGAACACGGCCGAACGCGGCCGAACACGGCTGATCGAGGCCGATCACGGCCGAGGGCGGCCGGGCAGGGCTGCCCACCTCCAAGGCGTGCTGCTGGGCGGTCGGCCGGGATGCTAGTGGACCGTGGGCTTGCGCGACATCGAGGGGTCGCGGCGGCAGGAGCGGCGGCAGGAGCGGCGGGGACGTCAGGGTGCAGCGACATCGACTCATCATCGAGGGGACGCTACATCGATAGTGCGGCACAGTCAGACGACATCCAAGATCGAGGCCATGACTTGTTGGATCCTGGTGGGGGGGTGATGACGGGGGGTGTAGGGAGCAGCGGTGCGGGGGGGTCTGGGGGTGCCAAGTTCAACCCGCTGTCTGAGAACGAGATGGCGAAGTTGAGGCGAGGGAACATTGTTTGGAACTTCGTCACCGCGGGCCAGTACGTCGGGGACCAGTCCAAGATGCACGGGGACCGAAAGTTGCGTTGCAACTTATGCGGCCACCTGTTTTAGGGGGGGTCGTCGAAGGCCGCGCGTCATTTCACGCAGTCGAAGTTCTGCAAAGCTGGCGGAATGAGAGTTCTCGCGGAACTCTGGAACAACACGGACTACACATTTGTGTCGTCCACTGCTCAGCGGGTGCAGAGGTGGATGGCAGACGAGGGCATACGGGACATGAGAGCCCCTGCGGGTGGCCAGAGACAGCGGATGGACGACGTAGAGAGGGACGACATTCAGGACGCCCTCGATGAGGAGGAGGGCCGCGAGGGTGGGGCCAGGGAGGGGGCGGTTGCAGACGAGGCAGACGAGGCAGTCGGAGAGCCTAACCTGCCAGGGGAGGAGGTGGTGATGACGTCGAGAGGCGTCGGTCGAGCGGGTCCTGCTACTAGGGCGCCACGACCTAAGGTGGAGCGCGCGAGGAGGGAGAAGAGGGCAGTGGGGCAGGCTGGCGTCGAGGTGCCAGACACGGGCAGGGAGAAGAGGGCTCGACAGACCACGATTGACGAGATGTACGCCAGAGAGAAGTTGGCCGAGTTCACGGACGCGTGGCTTCAGTGAATCTACGTGAAGAAGTTGCCATTCAACGCCTTCTGTGGTCCGGAGTTCCAGAGGGTGCGGCAGGCAGCAGAGAGAGTGCCTCACTCTATCCAGTTCCGGTTTCCCTCCTACAGGGTTACAGCGGGCGCCAGTATCCCTTCGCAGAGGGCGAAGGTGGCGACGATGGTGAGCGAGGTGCGCACCATTTTCCGGCACAGCGGTGCCACTATCCTTTTCGACGGGAGGAAGTCGCGCAGCGGCAAGCCGCTCGTGAACTTCCTCGTCGGGGGCGCCAATGGCGCCCTGCTGTACGCCACCGTCGCACGTGACGGGCCGGTCCGAGACACAGTGGATGTCGTGTACCGTAGGTGGCGGGCCATCATCTTGTCCTTTCCTGCAAAGGACGTGATCGGCTTCTGCACAAACTCCGCCAATAACTATACGGCGGCAGCGCGCAGGTTCGCCACAGACCCCGAGCCCGACATCAGGAGGTTCACTTGGCACCCCTGCTCCACCCATGTCTGCAACTTGATGTTGTCAGATATCGGGACGCGAGTGGTGTGGGTCAAGGACACCATCATCCGCGCTCGAGCGCTTGTGCAATTTATTAAATCGCACGGTGGGGGTCGTGACGACATGGATTCATTCACATCAGTTATCACTGGTGATGTGCCGTCGACCGCGCAGGCGAGTGGCAGCAGCAGAGCCGGCGGTGGTCGTGGAGGACGTTCGCATGCGGAGGTTCGCGTGGACGACTCGGGGGAGCAGCAGCCACGGGGAGGTCTTCGGCAGACAGGCAGGCGTTGGGAGGTTAGGAGTGACAGCGAGGCTGAGGGGGAGGCCGAGGATGAGGAGGTGCCCCTTCGCGATCGTCGCTTCTCTCCCTCCCATCATCCGATCTCTGCACAGCCCGAGGCACTTAGGCGTTCGGAGAGGTTGGCGTCGGCAGCAGGCAGAGACCGGACACATGACGGCGAGGATCGTGGGGGGGAGAGGACTCCTTCCGACGCCGGTATCCGCCCCCGCTCGCCGTCGGTGCTCCGCACACAGGACTTCGACGTCGTAGGGCTTGGCGGGAGCTTGGGAGATTTCAGTGTCGAGGGACGTCAACGTGCCTCACCATAGGAGGTGCGCACAGACGCGGACGTTGAGCGGGGCCCTGTTGAGACTGAGGAGAAGAGGGATGCCCGTTTGGACCGAGAGGAGGAGGAGCGGCTGAGGAGTTTGCCACAGTGGGAGAGTCGGTTCGCGTATCTCGACGAGCAGCATCGGCAGAGGGACTTGGAGACAGGAGGGGGAGGGAGCCGTAACGTAGACGACTCGGGTGTCCCTGAGGAGGAGGTTCAGGGGGAGTTCGATTATGAGGGGCAGGATGTCACCGCGGGTGGTGGGTCAGGTGGTGGACGACGCGGCGACGAGGAGACCGCGGGTGTCCCTGAGGGGCAGGATGTTGTCATGGGCGGTGGGTCCCCTAGTGGGGGCCGTGGCGACAGCGAGACTGCGGGTGATGAGGGACAGGGTGCCGCAATGTGTGGCAGAGGAGAGGGTGGACCCGGTGGAGATGGGGATACTGTCGGTGGAGACGATGGACCAGACGGCGACGATGACGACGACCACGGTCCCGAGGACGATCCGTATAGGCTCGCCTCGGTGTTGAGGGACCCCACAGTGCCTCCCTTGCGCCCTGAGGACAAAGCGCACACTTTCTTCGACGTCGACGCTTTGGCGCAAGCGTTGACGGATGACCGTTTCGCACACGTGAGCCGCAAGAGCGGCAAGCACCGGGCCCCTGGGAGGGTATATTCACCGCCGCCGTTCACAGTGCAGAGCCCTCACTGGTCGGGTTCGTCGCTCAGCGGCGTGAGAGGGAGGGACTCCGGTGCGGGTGAGGTGGGGTCCGACGGTTGCAGCGACAACGGTAGAGATAGTGCAGGATCGATGCCTCCACCGCCCGCATGGACTCCGGAGGCCAGGGTCGACACCGGGGACGGGACGGCGGCACCTGGAGTTGCGCACAGTGGCGGTTCCCTGCCGACAGTCCGAGGTGGTGTGGGTGGCGAATGGTCAGCTGTTCGTCGGGTCGGGGACCGATTGCGGGCGGATTACGATGCCGGGAGGTGCGTCTTCACGGGACGTACGACTGTTCAGACGCAGGCTGCGGAGGGTGGGTCTGGACGTCCGAGACTGCAGATGGCAGGTCGCATGCTTGGTTTGTCACGAATGGAGACGAGGAGATCATTCGTCCTCGAGGCCGCAGGGACATCTACAGAAGGCTGCGGGGAGAGCAGTTCACATCGGGCGAGGAGGGGTTGTTGATGCGTCCCGGGACGAGACGACAGCATGGCCTCTCGAAGGTTGAGGCTCGACTCGCTGCAGGGGTCGCCGCTGGGCAGACAACATTGGACACGATTCAAAGGGAGAGAGAGGGGGGGATTGCTGCACAGGCGGAGGAGGACGAGGACGCAGACACTGAGTCCGAGCCGATCAAGACTGCGGCCCGCAAACACAGGGCACAGGTGGCCGCGGCGGCCGCTGCAACACATGCAGCATATGTCAACGGGGCATGGGGCACAGGTGCTGGAGGGAGAGGAGGGCGCCGGGGAGGACCGCATGGCCGCCCGTCCTCCGGGAGAGGCTGCGCGCGCTCTGGAGGCAAATGACGACGTCCGTGGTGTAATTTTTTTTTTCATTAGTTTTTTTTTGTTTTTCGCGTGGCTGTACAGCTTGGACGCTCTGTTGGCAGGGTTGTTGCATATTTATGTCGATGTTGTTCCATGGAGACGACGACAGTATGTGGACATTAGGGTTTTCTTTTTTGTTTTTGCTACTCGGTTGTACAGTAGAGACGACACCCGTCGACGGGTCCAGTTTTTTTTGCTACTCTGTTGTGTAGCAGAGACGATGGGTCCAGTTTTTTTTTGCTACTCGGTTGTACAGTAGAGACTACGGGTCCAGTTTTTGGCTTCAGCCTTGTACATACGCATTTCCATTGAAATGCTTTGTCATATATTTGCTCTTGTTCTTGTTCTTCCGCCAACATTGGTCTTGCATCTGAGTCGCTGTTGTTTGGTGATTGTTTTCTGCTCTGTTGTCGTGATTGTTGCAAATTATGTGCTTCTCCGATGCCACGCACCACGCACCTGCATGTCATGGATGCCTCCATTATGAATGTGCTGTTAATTTCAGATGCGACATAAGGATGATGTGTTAATAAATGTGTTCTTACATAAATGATGTGCTAATGAATGCCCATCACTATCATGAGTGAACACACACTATGACACACTTGCCTGTTATCACTGTTTGAAACTTGTGGTTCGCCGCACTGTGATTGATTTTCAATGTGTTTTGACATTGGTATGCCAAACAGGGTCTGACTTATGATTGCCATGAATGTGTTGTTTTAAAATATGCCATGAACTGTCATCGCCCTCATGAATGAAACCGACGCCTACCTTTCAGTGCGTGAGGCCCTGATCCGCCTGGGGTCTGCCATCTGCAGCCTCGTCTAGCTTCGACCCGGCCTGGCCGCACGGCCCGCCCCAACCAGGCCCTCATCCAAACCACGTTGGGCCGCCCCCGCAAAGGTCAAATATTTTTTTATTTATTTTTCCACCGTTCCAGACCCTCCTCCCTGCGACCCCGCATCGACGAACCTGCACACGGGGGACGCTGGATTTTTCGCGGCCCACCCTTCCAGGGTCTTGTGCAGGACCCCCCCGTTTTTTTTTTTTTTGATGCCCTGTCACTTTGAGGGGGTGCCCCTCCACCCCCCCACCCCAAACCCGCTCCCCGCTTCGAAAACCGCCCCCCAGATCGGCCGACACTGAGGCCAAAAAAACTCGGTCGGGCCGGCATGGCCGGGGGGATCCCGGCCTAGGCCGGCGGCCGCGGCCTAGGCTGAAACCGGCCGCGGCCAGCGTGCAACATAGGTGTGAGGTGAAATTGAGACAAGAATGTAGTTTACTTTCTTAAAAAAAAATAAAAAAAAATCAACTACCTGTCAAATCTGGAGAAGACGGCCTTTCAGGCTTTTTTTCATTGTCATTATAGTATTATTACAGGGAACCCCGTAGCAGCCACATCTGTGCTCAAGCCTCCAACGAGGGAACATGCGGGAGCTGCACCTATCAGCAGGTGCAATACCTGCTATAGCACGCGGGCGATATCAGCCAGGGGTCAGCCGGTAGGATCAGGACCGAGCTTCTTCGATGGGCTAGTCGCTGTGCCTCCCCTCTGGTCCCCTCCCCGTATGAACATCAGAAGTCTCTGCTCAATGCCACTTAGGGGGACCAAGGGCCTATCTCTAGGTGGCAGGTGCCAAGCTTTCCCAGGAAGGTACATGAGGCCATACAAACTGGTTCCAGTTCTCTTGGATCCCTCTATTCTGGTTAAGGATTATTGGGAGTACTGGGTATCAAAGCAAGAACATGCTGCCTCAACAGTGGACTGGTTTAACGAAGGTGTGGCGCTGTTAAGGGATAGAGTAAAAAGTTATTGATTGCACATGCTTGGGAACACAAGGCAATACTAGATAACATGCTCAACGAGCTGGAAGCTTGGGACAGCAAACTGCAGACTGACCCCCGAGATGACACAACTTATTACAGGTTACAAGCAGCGAGAGATCATCTGGAGTCCTACCTTGAGGCCCAGGTCAGGTGTGGCGCATCCATGCATGAATACGCCGACAAGACACTGAGGGCACGATGGCAAAATTTTTTTCCAGAAAGGCGAAAGCTAGAGCGAGATAGACAACTGTCTCCTCGCTGCACCACCAATCAACCACTCCTTACCGGACGCAAACAACGCATACGCGATAGTGAACTATGTTGCCCGGTCTTACCAAAATTTGTGCACCTCTGAGTCGAGGCAATGAAAGGAACAACACTTAGCTGAAGCCCGCCAAACCATGCTCCAGCATCTCCCAGCAATGCCCTTATCCACCCAACGTCAACAATTGGAAGAACCCTTGATTATATATCTAGAAGCCTTGAGGGGGATGGACGATGAAAAGACAATGGGCCTAGACTCTTTCCCAAAAGAATTTTGGCTTCAACACTGGGACATATTATGGAATAGCATGGCAGCCTACATACATACATGCAGTACGGATGGAAGGGACATTTGGAGGACCAATCAGTCAAGGGGTCACCACGCTCCTCTACAAGAAAGGGGACAAAGCAGACATCCGAAATTACCGCCCGATCACGCTCCTCCCCTTCCATCCAAGATGGTTTCGAAAGCCCTCAGTAATCGAAGGCTCCCGCACATGAATCACCTGGTTTTCAAGACCAGGTCGGGTTCATGCCGCAAAGGAACATCTAGGACAACGTCCTGCTAGTGAACGAGACTATCAAGTACGCCAGGCAGCAGCACAAGGAAGTCACAATCCTCTTCGTAGACTCTGAGAAGGCCTATGACCATGTGGAATGGGACTTCCTAGACTGTTGTCTAGATAAGATGAACTTTGGAAACGGATTCAGATCGTGGGTGTCCATCATACATAGGTCTGCGGCCACAAACGTTATGGTTACTAGGCACATGTCCTCTCCCTTCGCCTTGCAGCGTTTAATAACGCAAGGGGACCCAGTCGCCCGCATTCTCTTTGTGCTGGTTATGGAGGGATCGGCAGCGATGATCAAAGCCAACCCAGATATAGAGCGCGTAGACATCTCGGAGCTACCCCTTTATATGGTGTCTGTCACGTCCCTATCCGAGCCTCGACCGCTTCACTTCTCACCTTAACAGACATCATCCAAACCTTTGTGGTCCAACCAGACATGGACTATGAAACCGCGCGTGCATTGAACGCGGGTTTTCCGTTCAGAAACTAAACGGAATGCACGCGCGTGCAATGAACGCGACCGAACACGGAGTTCAATTCCACGGGGAAAAAAAAAACAAAAAAAACAAAAAAAAAACTCAAACAATTCCGAAACAAAAGTATGTTATGAAGAAAAATAAAATAAACAACATTTGCCTGAGCATTACATCCAAATTCGTTACCAAATTGGAAATAAAAATAGAAAATAGAAAATAGAAAAAAATAAAAAGAGAATTGAAATTAGTGAGTGCGCGAGTACATTTGCGACACCGCCATATTTGACGATTTTTTATTGTTTCTTGTCAGAGACAAATGCCCTAAAAATTTACAGATGTGTACTTCACATTATACAAAACTCATGAAAAAATTATAAAAAAATAATAATTTTTTTTAGATGGCAAAATAAAGTGAAAACAGAAAATAAAAAGGAAAAAAAATGGGTGGGCGAACACGATGTGACACCGCCATCTTTGACGATTTTTTTTTTTTTTTTTTGCCTTAGAAAAATGACTCCAAAATTAACAGATATGTACCCCACATCATAGAGAACTCAAAAAAAAATAATAAGAAAAAACAAGTTATTTTTTGCATCAGACAAAAAAAATTCAAACTTCAAAAAAATAAAATAATAATTGAATGCCGTTCAATTTTGAACGCGAATTTAAATCCGCGTTCAAACGCACATTTGAACGAGAACGCGCGTTCATGGCGTTCAAATGGTTACATAGGATATGGAAATGAACAGGGGAACAAAGATGGAGGGCTGGTGGTTGTCCCCACAATTCACCCAGCCACCACACCAGCCACCGGTCAGCAGGCGTCCGAGAGAAGAAGCCATCCGAATCCTTGGGATCCGCCTGACGGCCATGGACCCTCCTACAGACCATGGACATACTCTGGTCCAAACAACGCTCCAAAGATTGACAAGATGGGATGGCCTCCACACATTGTTGGTAGGTAGGGCGCTGGTGATCAACAACGCCATCCTCACCACAATCTGGTATAAAACGGTCTTTTGGGAAATCCCTGAAAAACAACTCACACATCTGCGAGCAGCGCTAGTGGCCTACTTGTGGAGAAGTGATCATAAGCCGACGAGATGTTTGAAAAGGTTGGCGTGAAAATATGTGTCCCAGCCAAAGAGAGTGGGTGGGCTGGGCAATCTAGATCCAGAAGATGCTACTTGCAAACGCTATCTCATGGTTGTTGTTGACATACATACAACTGGCAAACCTGACACCTACCTCTCACCATGATACCCCATATCACCCCCTCACATGGTTCACAAATACGGCTTGGTCTGTTTCTGGTCCCCCATGCCACAAAAGGGACAAAACAGCTAGAAACAGAGTGAGATGGGACCTCAAGCATGACCTAACGTGGACCACAATGGTGTACCTGTCAAGGAACCGTTGCTTGGAAATCCGCACATCTGCGATGAAACCGGATCACCGCTCTCTCTGGAGACCGGCTCGCGCTGGCTTACATGGGTGAGAAACGGCCTCTTCGTAGTATGGGATCTCTGGGACAGCGAGAGAGGGAT